GATTAATGGAAGGGCAGACCTGACATTTGGAAATGGGACTCGTTGGGTTTCATTTAAAGCTCCCAGCCATGCAACAACCAGGTCCTCGGTGTAGTTTGATCGTACGTGGTTTGCTCTCAGGGTTTTCTCCCAGAAAAGCTTTCTGCCATGTAGTTTAATATTTCTATATAATTTTCACTTTTCTGGTGCTGTTGAGGCAATTAAACTATGTGGTTAGATTTAGGAAAATATCATAATATTTGTGAAAATGCACCCTTTCGAATATCCTTAGAGAGAAAGCATCAGGGGAGACTGGGGGTAATTGTAACTTTTTACATTTTCCCTCATAATTCAAAGACTACTTCAAGCACACTAGTCATTTTTAAGAAAAGGAACATATACAGTACTTCATAAATTACTAGAACACCACCCAGTGTAAGTTTTATGCTGTCCTGAATTGCCAAAATAATTTCTTCTGTTTCTGCGATGGTTAATCCACCAGTCTGTGCAAGCTCTTTAATCAAAATGACATTTTTAATGTTCAAATATAATTATTCTTGTATCCATGAACTTTCAAATGAACTGTTCTATAAAAAAGCTGAAAAAAAAATAAATCATGTTAATCTTTTTTAATTAAAGCACCAAATTACAGTTATTTACTTGAACAGAAAAATCGGTTCAGTGCTTGAATCTTATGCTTGATTTATTCATCAATTCTGACACCTCAGAGAAGTCCGGTGGAAAAATATGAATCCAGTCTGTTAATTACCTAATAAATAATAACGCAATTTTTATTTTAGAAACAAGTTTTTGACAGATTTCTAAACGATTTGTGTTTTCTTCTTTTTATGACATATAGTCTAATACATTTATTAAGCACTACATATGTGCACTAATAGTACAATTTGTACATTTTCACTTATGATGGCAAGACTGTATAAATGAAGCAAATAACACTATATCTCAAATCTAAAAACGTACATAGAAAGGTTTAGCTCTTGGAGGTATGTTTAGGTTAGTCTGTGGATTGAAGGCATTTTCCCAGAAAGCCTAACTATTCTAGAGGTAACTATAACATAATCCTATGAACTGAGTATAAGTTACAATTTAAAACTGTTTTTAAGGTAACTTACATCAATATAGACAACAGATACTGACTGATTTTTTTTAAGATATTACCATATGACATAAGAGATTTTAAGAGAATAATGCAAGATTTGCTATTATACCTTCAAACTGACACCTTCTGTCAACATGTAAGCACTATTTTAAACAAAAAGATGTATTTTTTATTTTAGGTAGTCATTTTAAATGTAGAATTATTGCAATATGTCATCTTTAACAGTAAAGTCAGTCATCAACACAGAGAAGCAAGGCGCCTGCAGTCCTAAATGTTGACATTAACCCCGACATCAGCGTTACAATCTTATATTCTATCTAGTAGCATCTACATGATTGTTCAAGATTATCTTTAAAACTGATGTAAATTAAAAACAAGTAAGTTTGTAAGCTTAAATTGATGGAAGTTCAAATTCACTGTCATGTAAATTTTAAACAGTAGAAGAAAAAAAAATAGTGCAGATCCAGAAAGTTTTTACATCAAAATCAGTTTTGTCCCTGAGAGTTTATGCAAAAGTGTATTACAACTGCTCCCACTATCCTCTACTTTCCCTATGTGCTGGAAGGCTTCTCCTCTTCCTCACTGGTTTTTAAACAATGGCTGACAACCAACATATTAAGTTCTGCCATCTTCTGTTCCCAAGAATGGACATGGTAATAAATCCTAGCCATAAATCGAAGCCGCTGAACACTAATGTGGTAATGCTGTGCTCCTCCATTCCACACTTCCTCTGCTTCTTGATCATATGTTGTGACTCGTGGCCCCACTTAGTACACTATGTGACCACGCGCATTACCGTCTCCTCAGCCTGATAGTGTTCACTGTTTATATAAAGCTACAGGATGCTCTCCTGTTACTCGGTGTTTGGTACAGTGGCGTCATCTTGTGGACAGTGTTAACATTTCCTTATCGCGTTTACGCGACCGTTCAGTTTGGATGTAGCAGGTTTCCGTAGAGAGGAGGAAAAGCGTCGCCCTAGCAACGGAATGATCAGCAGCAGGATTCTTCTGCAGCGGATTGAATCTTTCATGAAAGAGAAACGCATTCAGCTTCTGGTTTACTAACTAAAGCCGTAATGGCTGCAAGCAACCCATCCGTGTTTCTTCTTACGGTGAACGGACATATTGAGGGAGCGAACGTGAGTGGGCTTTCTGTGTTTTAGCCTGATTGTTCAGCTAGCATTAGCACCCTTTGAGGTAACTTGTGCCATGGATTCGTCTCATTTCTCAGTTCGTTTACCCTTGTGTACAGGTGTAAAGCTGATATTATCTTTGTTGTATTTCAGTTTCCAGAGTATGACAACTTGTACTGCAAATATTGTTTTGTCTACGGCCACGACTGGGCTCCCACCACGGTGAGTAGCTGTCAAGTCCTTTTCTGCATCTGGAGATTCAATATAAAATTACAGTTTTATATATAGTAAAGGAACAATTAGCCTGAAAAGGGGTCATGAAGTCTTTACTAAATAACAAATGGTTAAAGTCCAGCCCCTACTGAAATTTCGTGTGTTTGTTTGTTTTCGTCCTATAGGGGTTGGAGGAAGGCATCACGCAAATTGCTAGTAAAAGCAGCCAAGCTTCGCACAGGTTGATATGGAACTTCCCACTGGGAACAACATTTAAGAGCACAAATCCATCTGGATGTGAGCATTACACAAACACACTCAAAAACACGTGGTTAATTGCAAACAGTTGCCCTCTGTTGACAAAAATATTAGATCCTTTAGAAGGAGAAGGGCAAATTAGTTGCACTGTCTTTGCAGATCAAGAGAAAGTATATGATAGAGTGACAAGAGATGAATTGTAGTACTGACAGACAGCCAACCAAGTATGTGAGAGTCAACTGTCCAAAGTGCACAAGAGAGGTGAAAAAGAGAGTGCAGGCTGGGTGGAGACAAGTGTCAGGGGCGATTTGTGAAAGAAGGATAGCAGCATGAGTGAAAGGGAAGGTTTAAAGGATGGTGGTGTGATCTGTTATGATGTATGGTTTGGAGTCTGGGAGTGATCAGGATGTACGGGACTGGAAATTAACATAGAGGGACCACTCAGGTTGAGCAGTTTGGAGACAGAGTTTGGCATGGAGGGAGGGAAAGTGGAAATGTTGGACAAAGGATGCTGAATATGGAGCTGTTAGGCAGGAGGAAAAGAGGAAGACCACAGAGGAAAATGTTAGATAGGTGAGATTGAGGCAGATGATCTGCTCTGAAAATAGAAATAGAAGTAATATCTAAAACTTATTGTAGACAGAGAATTTATGTATTAATTAACGGGTTCATTTTCCAGGGCCTCAGCTTGTGGTGAGTGTTTATGGTCCAGATGTTTTTGGCAACGATGTGGTCAGAGGCTACGGAGCAACACACATCCCCTTCACACCAGGACAGTCAGTACTGCTTTCATTTACTTATTAGGTTTTTTGGGGGGGTGGGTTGCCCTACACAAGTACCATTTTCAAATGACTCGTGCTCACCTTTGAGCCATGTCAGCATGTAGACACCACCTGCTTCTTTCAGCAGGAAGAGCTTGAAACAGAAAATAACCTTATTTTTATTCTTCAGGCATACGAAAACCATTCCCATGTTTGTTCCTGAGCCCACATGGAGACTTCAGAAGTTCACAGGGTGAGATGTGTGCGGTCTTCTCATCTCTCTGCCAGCAGCTCGGGTGGCTTATGATCTCAGAGCAGTACAAACTGCGCAACACCTGAGCTAAAGATAGGCTCTTATTACCTGTATGGTGAGAATAATTAACATTGTTTTTCCTGCTTCTGTGATCAGTATGCGGAAAAACACAAACAAAGGTATTCCCACGTTATCTCCTGACAACCTAAGGTCGCATAACTTTGGTGGCATGCCAAAGTTATGTCATTTGTTGTCCTGACAGTGTAACTGAAATAAAACAGCAGCAGCACATTTTTTAAGGGCTTTTCTTCCTCTTGTTTTAGCCACTTGTATCAAAGTATCAAGTTATGGTTAACTTGCCTTAAAAAGCCTTCCAGAGTAGACTGAGAAAACTGAGTTTATCTCAAGCTAAATGCATATTCTTAAGCCAGTTTGTCGTACATAGAAAGGTTCACAATTTTTTTCCTCTCCTCTGTTCAGGTGGTTGACGGGACGACGGCCTGAATACACAGATCCTAAAGTGGTGGCCCAGGGTGAGGGCAGAGAAGGTGTGTGGCTCTTGTCTGTATTTCTTTAGTCCCAAAACTAGCATGCTGTGCTAAAGTCACATCAGGGAACCCGAAAGGAGTCCAGTCTAGTGCTATTAACTTCTTGTTGCTGTTGAAATAGTTGTTTCTCCTATCGCAGTTCTTATTCTAGTGACTGAGCCTTTAGATTCACAACAGATCAAATCACACAAGTTACTCCAGGCTCTGGACTAAAACAAAAACTCTGTGTCTTATATTTAATGTTGCAGTGACTAGAGTTCATTCACAAGGCTTTGTGTCAGTCTCCTTTCTCATCATGACTAAAGACATGAAGAAGATGGACTATGAGACGGGACCATCAGGCCCGGCAAACAAGGCCTCTGCCACATCTGGCTGATCAACAGAGGAACAACCATAAAACATGTGGTAACATTAACAGACTGAAGGAAATTTGGGCCAAATGACACATCTCCTCATTAAGGCGACATTTTTTCCCCTCACCGTGACAATCCCGTGTTCAAATGAGACACCAGCAATAATGTGCGCATCTGGAAATATTGTGTAGAGATGGAATTATACTAATGTGCTTTCAGTTATACCTTTTGTACCATTTTTGATTTTTTTCACTGTTACTGTATGTTTTTTTAAAACTTTTCTAACACAAATAAACTACACATGTTGAGCACAGATCGCTGTAGTCTGTGGGCAAAACATCCCCAGCCCTAAAAACAACATGCAAGGAGAGACAGAGCGGACAGAGCTGAAGTGATACAGTTTATTTTGAACCAGTTGCAGCTACAGTTGTCCTCATCCGACAGGGGTGCGGAGCCTGCTGCGTTCATTTGTTTAGATGTCGTTAAAATACCACAATGACTTTTCCTACAAAAACCCATTACACAGAATAATAAGGTATACAGAAGAACAGTATGTTACAATAGTACAAATGATAAATTATATTATACAGTTATAATGCCAACAGGTTGAGCACGTATCCAATAAAAAAAAAAAAAAAATTAAAAAAAAGGAAAGAAAAAGCAGCCTGCTCCCAGTACTATGAGAAAGGTAAATAGACACGAAAAGAAAAGAATAAAGGAGGCTGTTTATGCATACAAAGACAGACAGCCTGTAAGGTCAGTTAGTCCTCTTGATAAAAGCATAGTGAATACATAATGTAACACAGAGGAGCTCGCTACACACAGGCCACATTTTCACTGCACCATAGTCACGACTGTGAACAACGCTGCCAGGGATTCAAGAAAAAACGTTTTCCGGCTGCAGCGTTCTCAGACTGTTTGAGCGCGACGGCTCGAAGCCTTTGTTCTCTTTTCGACGCTTCTATGAACTTTCCTGCAATTGCTGAGAGTGAAGTTTAAGGTCAGGCCCGCAGTGAAAGACAAGGCCGGTGAGAAGGTGACACATCTTGAGCTAGAATATCATAGTAGTGTTTCCATGAACAAGACTTAGTTAGCAAATTTTATCCTGCAAAACACATCAAGCGTTAAGTCTGTTTTTATCTCGTTCACTTTTTCCTTCTTTTATTTTTGCATATATTTAGTTGAGATTAAAAAAATGTAAAAATGCTTGCTGGTCTGCAGGGGTTGCATCCATTCATTCATTCAGGACCCCCAAACGTAAAAAGCAATCACCACCGCCACCCTCGTGAAAAGCATACGCACACGTACGGTCGGAGCTGCCCCTCCTTTTGTTTTTGCCTGAGAGAAATGAAGGTCTGCTTTAAGTGGATGTCTCCACGGTCCTGCAGAGTAGCTATCATACCAGAGCAGACCACGAGGGGGCGCCAATCCATATCAAAAGAAAAATTAACAAGGAAGGAAAAACAAGCTTTCCACAGTCACATTGGCAGTTATTGAGAAAGATCTGAAGAAACTATTCTGACTTACACAAAAAAGGGTCTGTACACCAGGTGCAATTCATCCATAGCTGAATGTCATCAACCCACCTTTCACAACCAAAATGACGAAAGACAAGACACTCGGCTCGCTGTCAGTAAATGTGCTGATGTTCAGCCAACAGTAACACTTTCTTACACAAAACTCTGAACAAAATGTAAAACAGCTCTGAAATATAAAACATTTTAACAATGGAGTCTCTGATCTCAAGAGCGTCAATAAACAGAAAGAGAAGGGGGGAAATGTCAGTAAGCGGTGACTCTACTGTTCAAAGTAATCAGAGTACGGCATCCTCCGAAATCACAGTCGCTATGACTTTGGTAACAGTTGTGCTTCTAAGAGAAGAGAATTACATAGCCTACCCATAGGGTGACACAAACTAGAGTAACAGGAAAAAAAATAAAATAAAGATGACACATGGCTTAGCTAGGTACACAGCTCCAAAACTCTGATAAGCTTGGCTATGGATTTACACCTAACACAAACAAAAACAAAATAAAGTAACCAACACAAGAAAACAACCGCACGTTTACGTAACATGACTCGCTGTTGTTTGCTGTGGGATTCCCTGTGCTATCAATAGACTGATCCTGGAACAACCCCCTTTGAAAATGTGTGTGTGAGTGAGTGCGTGCGTTCCCACTAGGTAATGTAATCCTGTAGATAGATTAACGCCAGCAAATCCAGTCAGAGGTAAACTCTTCCCACAATGCCAAGTGTCTGTCATATGCTTTAAAATATATATTTTTTTGTTAAAGCAACAATCACTGATATCTGCTGCAAACATGCGGGCACGCGCACACACACACACACACTTAAGGTCGTTGATGCCTAAGTTGCCCCTTGTTTGAGTTCCACTTCAGAAACTAATTCCAAATCAGTTTCCACTTATCAGACTGAGAAATGGGAAAACTTGTTCATGAAAGTACACTTGGAAACTAAATGCATTTCTCCTGCAAACGCGCACATATACACACAGACATACACACACAAACACAACCCTCCTTCCACACGTATCCCTTTGAGCCTTGAAACAAACTTAAATTTAAAAAAAAACAAAAAAAACAAAAACTGTCCCATGATGCCTCACTGCATCCTATTTATATAGCAAAAAAAACAAAAAATACTGATGCCACCACAGTTCATGTCTTTTTCACTACAAACATTTTGGGGGGGCTCAACATGTAGTAGTTAGTATCAGTACACTTGCATGTGAGCAAAAACACAGATATTTAAAAACAAACAAACAAAACATCTCCTCTGAGAAGCTTTCATTGTTATTCCTGTGAACCACTGAGGTCAAAGGTCATCTGGAGGGTCTGAAGAAAGTTCAGAGATTAGAGGAAGTGACCAGATGAGAGTTGTGACCATGAGCCGAGGCACTGTGTTTTTGTGTTTGTGTGTGTGTGTCGACTCGGCTGTTTTAAGCGGCTGGACGTCCTCCCTAAGCTAAGGTGTAGCGGTGAGCCCAACAGTCACAGAAAAAAAAAGAAAAAAAGAAAGAAACAAAAGAAGAAGAAAAAAGCAAACAATTGTGCAAAATTCCTGCTTTGTAACACACACACACACTCGCACACAGAGTATAAACACATCTAACCATCTCTCATCTTTACTCCAGTGAGTGGAAGTTGACTCGCTGGAAAATACACAGTGTAAAAGTACTGAGATGTGCACTCTCTCACACACACACACCAGCTGGCAGGGCTTATAAAAGATTAGCTCTAGTGAAGAGATAAGATCCTGGCATTAGAACAGTCAGACTCTCCTGTCACTCCACTACAGAAGAGGAGAGGAGCGGTCCTAAAGGGAAGAAGTAAGGGAGAAATGATTGAGAAAAGGACAGGGAGGAGAGACTGTGGCCAAGTCCTGCCTCAGTGGAAAAACTGTAAACACTGACGCTACTCTTAAAAGTCTGTGGACTGATGCAAACTCTTTGTGGTCATCAACATTATCATTAGATCAGCATGGAACACAGGACTAGGCAGCTTGTAGGAGAGAAAGAAAGAGAGAAGAAAGGAGTTAGGGAGTGTGGTAAGGTAGGAGAGGGTCCTGCTGGGACTCTGGCTTGGAGTTGGTTATAAATGGATAATTGAGATAAGACGTCTCCTTGTTCGTTTTGAAGCTTCTTGAGGGGCTAAAGTTGAAGAGTAAAAGGAAGGGTTACTCCATGATGTCCCTCTCCCTGTCATCCTCTCACAAAAGGAACGGGTTGGTGGTTCCGGTGTTTTGAGTCCCAGCCTGGGGGGGCATGCTCATCAGGGGCTGGGGCATGGACATGGAGGATGGAATCCCTGCGCTCATCCCCATGCCTCCCACAGCACCCACTCCAGGCATCGAGTGGCCCATGGGGGCCATACCTGTCAGAGGGACCATGGGGACGGGCTGAGGAGGCATGGAGGAAAGGCCTATGGGCTCTGCCATGCTGCCAAAGCCAGAGGGCATCGGGCTGACGCGCATCTGGTTGAGGGTGGGGGGAGCTGGCTGGCTCACTTGGAAGGGGTTGGCCGGGGTTGGAGCAGAGCCACCTAAATAAAGTGAGGGGATAACAAACAAAGGAAGAAAACACATTAGTACAACAGTACATTGTGTTTAGTTGGGCTATGTCAGTTGGACATTATATAAAGTACTCGCTAAAATACTTCAAAGCTAACACTTTCTTCACCCATCCCACTAAGATTGTTAGAAAATAAATAAATAATAATAATAAATATATAAAATATTAGATTTCACATTCTCTTTGCTCTCCCACCTGTTGAAGCCAAGAATGGGTTGACAGCTGGCGCAGGCTGGGCCGGTTTGGTCACCAGAGAGTCTAAATTGACCAGGGCAGCATTGGGACCCAGGAAGGACTCAGGAGTCTTTCTAGTTGGGTTTGTGATGATGGAAGTAGATGCTGAGGTGGGAAGGGGATCAAATATGTCCAGGCTGCTACTGCTGGCCAGGCTGAGTTGGGAGGGGACAGAAGATGCAATGCCCATATCACCTGAAGAACAAAAGTAGAGGTAGTCGTATTTTACAGCTGAACGAGCTGCTTTCAGAATTGGGCAAAGCATTATGGATTTAATGCCTACTCCAGTCGGGCACGGCAAATAATTGAAGGCATCTACGATACCGAAGAGTAGTATTTGAACAAAAAGAATTGATTTACTGTGGTATTCTATTTTGTTTTGTTCTCTAAACTTGCTGTCCATTTGGATTTCTCAGAGTCGCCGACCTACTAGCGGACATGTTTATCAGCACATGAGCAAACCAGATTCAGACTGAGAGTAAAACGAAACTGAGTTGATGCCATAAAATGATCAGAAGACGCTATTATGAGAAGACATCAGAGGCAGACAGCCTGGCTGTTTGTTGTGGCAGCAGTCAGATAGCAGTGGAGACATTCACTGATGCACTCATAAACCCAGCTTACTAGCAACACCACGCGCATGCACACACACAAACACACACAAACGGAAATGTCAAAGATGAAAACTGCTGCCACAAAATAAGAAATGAAGTGTAGCAGATCTTAGAAACAGCCATGGTAAGATGAGATAGGCCTACAATGCCCCATAAATCTTGTAGATTTCAGCTGGAGCTCAAATCCGCTCCGTAGAAGGTCGCTTCACTTTATTCTTTTCCTCACCACCTCTTGGACTGCATTAGTGCTGCGTTAGTGTTGAGCTAGAGCAAAAGTCATCATCCTCCCACACTCAGACTAGAGAATAACACCGTCCAAACTGTTCACTGGAACCTTATCAGACACAGACCTGAATGGAGCTGTGAATAGGATTAGTTTAAATTTAGATGTAAATTCCCAAATCGAGATTTAACAAGAATCAGGTCATATCTGAGAGGGTTTCCCTAAACTGAGTCTGATAATTTATTTAACAATGTACCTTCAAAAGCTGCCCCAGATTACACCACAGTGAAATGGAACCAGACTGGAGCAAAGAGCTGTTTCCCGGCCACAATTTGATACAATTACTGCCAAATCAGCTTAAAAACCTAATTTTAGTGGTTATAATGCTGCCTTTGCTCCAGTCTGGTGATACTGACATATAAACACAAGACATGTGTGTGTCTCTGCCATGCAGAAGCAACGCATCTGCACAGACAGACACTGACAAAAACAAAAAACAACAACAACAACAACAACAACACAGACTCCATGTCATTAGAGAGACAAAGACAGGGTGAGTACCAGTGGGGACAGAGGAGGAAGAGCGCAGGCTATCAAACTCTGAGAAGTCTTCTTTGGATGTACCATTGGATGCGCTCAACAGGTCAAAGCTACCTGAAAGGAGAAAATGCATACACAAATGCAAGAATACAAGACAATACACAAAGTAGACAAAAGTTCACATAAACACAGAGCAAATACATAAAAAGACAAATGGAATACAATATGAGTATGAATGACAATGAATACTTTGTGCTGTGTTGCTCTGTTGTGAGTTTGAGTCTTCAAGTCGACTGAATTTTCATTAAAACCTTGGAAAATTATACAGTACAAAAAAGTATAAACAAGAATCATCCAATTTCAGAGTGCTTTAATTCGGTAACAATCGAAACACATACAGGGATTCGTGAGTTTCACATGATTGCCAGTGGGTAACATAACGACAGCAGTGGATGCACCGACTTGTGTATCTGACGGACAAACAGCAAACCAATCACACGGACACATGCTGTGTGTCAGGAGGTAAACGCACTGCACAGTTGTAAACATTGTAAGCTCTCTATGTGAAACTTAAATTCAGCCATGTATTCTAAAAGTCACCGCAAGATTTTTAAAAAGCTCTTTGAAATCGGATGATTCTTTTTAAAACATTGTGTACTTGCAACTTTAATTTATTAATCACAATGTAAGAAGCAACATGACAGGTCACCTTGGTACTTAGTTGGCAGCAAAGCTGGCTATGTTTAGGGAGAGAGAAGGTTACCTGTGTTGGAGGGTTTGGGGCGGGCTGCTGCAGAACCCCATGGGTCAGAAGCAGGAATGGAGTTGGGCGCCCAGGGATCGCTGCTCTTGATGGGTGGGACAGTAGAAGTGCCCCATGGGTCCACTGAGGTTGCTGGCTTAGGGGCAGATCCTGGAGGGAAGGGGAGACATTCAATGTTCTGTGGGTGAGGGATTAAAGGTATATACAGGTAAAGAGAGGGGAGTGAATTGGTGAAAAGCAGGGTTAATTTAATGCGCTGAGCCCCCCTGGGCCTCACTTAATACATCAGTCCAGCCTCGAGTTGAGGAAGGAAAACCAACAAGCACCTTATCCTTGAAAAATTATTTATGTTACCGAATTACATCACAGAATCCAGAATGAACGGTCAACCAAACACACGACAGATAAGGGATAAAAACGCAGTAAGCTCCCTCATTTCTGGGCTGCCGCTCTTTCAACAGTCCTCAAATTTTATCATTAGGTACATTTCACAGAGTACAGAGAGCAAACAGTGCGAGGGATCATGTGATTTCATTTAGGACTCCAAAGAATCTGTGTTATAATTATCTAAAAATCTCACATATGTGATTTCGTCTGTGATTATGCTGCAACAGAAACTATCATGCCCTTCCTTAATCAAACATTTAAACAAATTTTCTGTAAACCCGAGACTAACAAATACTGAAATAAACTGAGTAATTACTGCATAGTTCATTTCAGTTCAATCTATCCACATAGACACTCCCTCTCACACGCCAACCTCATCATGACAGAGGACTATTACATATCTGACTCCCCGAGCCTGCTTTTCTCCCAGCATCATGATCCCTTCCTTCACAATGTCTTCCGCTAACTCTCACCCTCCCCAACCCTCAGTGCAGTAATGCTGCTGAGCCAGTGGAGCAGCATTCCTGTGTAACAAAGAGTCACAGTCCTGCAAGCGGCAGGTGGAGAGCAGAAATCTTTCACACACATGCAAACTTTTCAGTGATAGTATGTAGTAGAGCAGGGCGATATGGTCAAAAATATATATCACGATATATATTTGGAAAATTTGCGATAACGATATAATTTCTGCGAGACAAAATACAACTCCACAACTTTACTAGCGCAAAAAAAACCTGATCCATTCATTTTACTTAAACAAGCAGCTGTTTTTATGTGCATTAAAGCTATATAAACATTTAACAGTGCAAATGCAAATTCCTTGCTGAAAGTTTAACCAAAAGGTATTTCCAGTAGAAATGGGCTGACATATCCTGAGCATAACCATGTATAATATCCACTGAAGTTAAAAAGAGGTGCTTTGCAACATGAAACCACAGTGTGCCAAATAAAAAAGTCAAATACGTATTTCTCGGACCATAAGGTGCACGGGATTATAAGGCACATTAAGTGAAACAAAGCAGTCAGATAAATCAAACTTTATTCAACTCATTCTTCTTGCTTCTTCCACTTCTGTACCTTTGATTCATTAATGCTGTATTCTATCACAGCTGCTCTATTCCCTTGTTGTTGCAGTATATTATTGACTAACCTCGTATTGTGGATGGATTGTCTCAATTGTTCTCCTGACTGAAGTTTGGTCTGTTTACAGCATCCTGCCATGCGATTGCATTTGTCTCTAACCATGAGGAACCTTCACGTTAACTTTTATCGAGTGGAAAAGTGTTAGTGTTCGTCCTCGAGCTTCACTGTTTATGTTGTGCTAACATAGCTGTGTCGCTAGCGATCACGTAGCACATCATTATAAACCAGCTAGCCCAACTTCAGTAACCCTACAAACGTCACTGCTGTTTAGTTTTCTGTCTTCATTTATGTTGGAAGTGATAGCAGAGCTGTACGTTTGAATTTTTTCAGAAATCTCTCAGTCAGAACATGCTATATCATGTTTAGGTAACTAGCGAAACTAGCGAGCTAACTTCCGCTAACTTCCTGCTAACTTCTAACTCCGAATTCTGTTTTCATGGATGCCTGGATGTTAAACTTCATAGTTACACCTGGTAAAGCAGCAATGATGATCATTTCATTAAAGGTGAAAGAATTTAGACAGTTTTAAACTCTCAGTGACGTTTGTTTGACTTCGGGACTTTAAAGGACGGAGTTTAGGACCCAGATTACTTCCAGATTTACAAGCACCTTAGTCGACAAATACAGCGGCCCCACTTGCATGTTCTACAAAAAAAAAGTGCTTTGTTGTGTATCTGACGGACAAACACCAAACCAGTTAAGCTGCACCATTTTTACAAAACAATTCTGGCTCATCCTTTTCACTCAATCTACTTTCCCCATTCACATTCTCCGTTACCGTGCATTCTCCGTGCTTTTTCGGCACTGCGCATGCGCGTTTTACCCATATTCTACCGTGATGTCATTTTCTTATCGTTGCCTAGCTTTGTACCGGTATTACCTTGAACAGTATAATACGGCCCAGCCCTAGTATGTAGATCTCACATGATGTAACAACTTTCAAGAAAGCAAGAGTGTGTGTATGTATATACCATAAGGCTGCCATGGGTCAGCTGATGCAGCAGCAGCTCCGGCCCCAGCTCCCGTGCCCCAGGGGTCAGCACTGGCACCAGGCTCGGGGACATCCATTAGATCCATCAAAGTGGACTGTGGCTACAAAGAGAGACCCATGGGTTAGAAAATAACAAAACGACAGGAGACCAGATAAAAGGAAAATTAAGCATGGAGACAAAAGAGGAAATATACAAAGGGGGTGATTGAAGATATACACGGAATATATGAAATGGAAAAAAGTAGGAAAGACAATCCGTTGGCCATTATCCTGCACATGAATACTGTTCAAACATAGAGGGTAGTTATGTCATTACGCATTGAGAACAACATGAGTCATTGTCGTGCAACCGTACGTCTTCAACTCTTTATCTCTCCGTGGCCTCAAACTGCAGCCGGGCACTTATTCAGGCAGAATAATGACAAATAAACTCGGCAGTCTGCTGCCAGTTAGCGGCTTCATTACGGCTACTGAAGGGAGCAGACAGGGTGAGGCAGAAAAAGGAGATGGGGAGAGACAAGACTATTTCAGGAGCGTGTTTGCGATAATGGAATAACTGAGTCACCGCAACCACTACGCTTATGTGCTTTTTACCTCTTTTTTCTTCTTGGCAACTTTTGCAGAGCCTGGGCCTTCTTTCTTACTCTCCTCTAAGGCCATTTGTAGTCTCAGGTCATCTCCTCGGCGTATGCGCTCCTCCTGCACACACACAGAAAGACCAACCCATGTGTAACTTATCTCATTCTTCTCAACATGGCATTTTTCAAAGTGATGTTCAATTAAAGATGTGTTTTTGTACTACTAATCTTATTTTTACTGCAAAATAGGCTCATTTATTGTATGTTTACTGAAAACTAGCGCTGTGCAATACTGAAAATATTGACATCAAGCTAATGCAAAGTAAATACAGGGCCAATAATGCCAATTGTGGACTTAGAAGGGTAGCTTACATACAAAGCTCATGACTCTGAAGACATTTTAATGACCACTAAATCACTGTGATTTTTTTCCTATATAAATAATTAGTTAACACAACAAAACACTCCTTTCAGCTGTTTTTGAATATGGGCTTTTTGAAGACCTGGAATATAAGTGTGCCTTTCTCTAAGGTTGTTTTCACACCTGCTGCGTTTAGTCAGCTTTAATCAAACTCTGGTTCATTTTCCCCTTTGGCCCCCAATCTGAACCAACTACCAGAAGTATATCGCAATTCTGAGCTAAACAACTTGCCACTGCCACGTATGCTTTGTTCTTTAGGATGTGGCACGGTACTAGAGGTCTGCAAATGTCTTTATGGGCTAGAAACTTTACGTTAAATTAACGTAGTTTCTCCATATTCTCCAGAACACACCACCTTTATTTTTTTATTTTTCTTCCTTCCGCTTATTGGCCGGACACATCAGGCCAAAAGGTGAATTGAACATTCTCATGTTGTTGGCAGTGATGCACAAACCATGGGGCAAAAGCTGATACGGAGAAAACAAACTATTGGTGTGAGAATGCCATGAAGCACTTTTAAACAACACAAGTCAACTCAATGTCCTATAGTTGACATGACCGTTAACACATAAGGTTTCAGACATTTTTGATAGTGGAAGTTTAAGGTATTTTTCCCCTCCTTTTCATTAAAAAAACAAAAACAAAAACACAAACAAACAAACAAACTTTAATGATAGAAACTGATACTGACACCAATGCTGCTATCCAGTTTCCTTTGGGATTATTAAAGTATTCTGACATATATTCGATATTCAAATCAATCTGCCCACCTCGACTTGAAACAGCCATGTCTGGCATGTTAGCATACGCATGTGCGACAAAGTGTGCATACCTGCTCTGCAGCCTCTCTGCTCATGGCCAAGGCAAGTTGCAGTTGCAGTTCTTCCTCTCCGCTGGTCTGAGGTCTGGCCTGTTCCAGTTCTGAACCGGCGTTAGGAGACGTAGCTAAGCAGCAAATTCAGAATGTATGTTAATGTTACTGCCACAGGGCAAGACGTCACAGTTCATTATGCACTAACTGGTACTGTCAGAGATTTACAGTTAACAAACAGTCAGGTGAGTAAACAACACTGAGACACTTGAGATTGATAACGTGCGGCACGGGTGAAACTCAGAGAGTCACCCCGTACTGCAGCATTCGTTTATTTTTATAGGTTACATCGTCAATATGCAAATATAATCACATTTCCTGTTATGCAGGTCCTGATGCTGTCTGTGTGTAAGCTGTGTGTGTGTGTGTGTCACAAAGTATGTGTGTTGCAAGTCAATTTCTAAGAATAATATACTGCAAGTCAACTTCTGCGGATATGTATTTCTGTACTAGTCTCTTGCGATAAATGTCAGTGTCACAGGGTCAGCTTCCTGTTTCTACAGAAAACTGTGTCTGGTGAAATATGTGTAACATAACATTTGAAGCATAATCGAATAAAACAATAAAAACTCCCTAACAGGTACTTTAAGACAACTTCTGTCACAACAGATGCAATCACACAATATCCAGTAGTAATGCAAGACACATTTAGCATTTTATTAGCCTGCACAGAAAGCACAGTGTGTGTGTGTGTGTGTGTGTGTGTGTGTGTGTGTGTGTGTGTGTGTGTGTGTGTGTGTGTGTGATCATAGGTCTTCACTGCAAGCCCGTGGGAGACGATAGGTCCGTTCAGCTTATTGGATTAAGTCGGGCCATGTGGCAGCACAAAACACGCAGACATCGCACGTGGCAAACAAACAAACATACACGCCAGCTGGCTTGAACATGATAAGAAAGAGCGTAGAGAGACACTCACTATGGCGGCTTCAACTGAACTGAAAGTGTGACTGTGTCTCAGTGTGGAAACAAACTCATTTCCATGGGAAGCAGAGGCCATCATCATATTTGTCTTTTCTTGCCATGTCATTCTTTTGACTTTATTACTCCGTGAATGTTGTGGGTGTGCAAAGAACATATGTATAATGACCTGGATTTTCTACTTAACGTGTGCTTTTCTATGTGATGATAGTTCTACACACACACACACACACACACTTTTCTTTTAACCTGTTACTTGTTTTGTTTACTAAAAAAAAAGAAGGACTGATCAAATTTTCCCTTTGGGGTACTTTTGTTTTTCGTTCGTTCGCCTCTCTCCTTCACACAAACACGTCAGCCATTTTTTTTTTTTCTACTGCCAATTTGGCTACAAATATGCACACTTATTTTTTCATGATCATAATCATGCGTCATTTCTTTTTAAATATACGTCGAACCCTGAGCAGCTGTAGAATCCCAAGGCCAAAAAACCCAAGTAACACAAATATGACGTGCGGAAAGACTAAATGTTAGTTTCACTCTTTGATGCGACTAACTTTGAAACTTCACTTTGACTAACATCCTCCTACCCTGAAAAGACATTTTTGAAAATACATATCACATCAGCAAGTTATCTGTAAACGTACACAGACAATTTGCCCGATCAAATGTTTCCATCATAAGAAGATGGTAGAAATGGTACAAAAAAGACATTTCCCTTAAAATGAAGAGGCCCAGTCTTCTTTGAAATGGTTAAAGAAACCTGATAGCCAGTAACACAAAAACAGCTCATATGTAGCCCGTGCTCTGCAGAAACAAAAGCCTCATTTATCTATTACATAGAAGATCATCATTAACAAAAGTGTCTAAAAAGCTTCACCACTGTCAACTCTGGATGCTTCAAGAAATAATCCGATGAATGGTCGCAAAAGTCAAATCGTTTCATTCAAGAGAGTACCAAAAGTCAAGCATGTGTTTTATTTGAGTGAAACTCTAAAACCATGCAATAAATGACCACAAGAGCAGATACTGTCACATAACAATAAACTGCACAACTACATTTCTTTCCACTGCTTACTGTACCTTTACCGTTTTAGGTTAGTCAAAAACCGAAAACAAGTTTTTGTTTAGCCAAAAAACAGTCAAAAGTCTTCAGTTAAAGTCTGCAGACTCAGAGAAATGTGCATATTCAAAATCCCATGCAAGTACAAAAAGTGTTGTAAACAACGACAGCAACAACCACACCTGTGCAGGTTTTCTAGGTATTGGCTTCAGATAGGGCTGCCACGATTCGTCGACTAGTCACGATTACGGCAACTATCGAAATCGCCGACAACTAATTCAATAGTCGACGCGTCGTTTGAAGCTTTGTGAGATTCTGAAAGATGCAGGAATAAATAGTAGGATTTAAGAGTGTAATAACGGACTGAAACAGAAGATGGCAGCACTACATCTACAAGGATGCCAGATGCTGTTAAACACAGAAGAAGAAGAAGAAGCAGTCTCCAGTATCGTAGCTGTGTCCAAATTCAGGGGCTGCATTTGTAGGCCGATTACATTACAGCGACGCGACGAAGGCTGTCCAAACTCGAAGACTTCTCCAAATGCAGCCGACAAATGCGTCCTTAATTTCCCCAGATTTGAAGGATGGGTCGGGTGTGTCCTTCGTGACCCAACCTATCCCAGAATTCATAGCGTGGCTCAGCCAATTCCAGTTTCCAACGATGGCGGCAGCTACTTAGTTTTAATATTACTCTTTTTGGGTCACAAAATAAAGTTTTCGGATATTTTCAGGCGAGAATGTAGCTGTGTAAACATCAAATATCTGGTTGATTTATCAAGACATCACATATTTACAAAAGTGCTCCAACATTTTCGGAGATGAGCTGGCCCGGAGGTCAAGGTTCAACTCCCGGCACATCGTTTTCAAACCCTCCGCGGTCTTTCGCTACTCAGGTTTAACATGATATATAAGTCACTTAGATAACTTAAAAATGTTATTATTTGGCTTTTTCAGCGTTTTATTTGTTCCTGAGTAAATCGGTTTGGCTGAGATTAAAGTTATAGTTTTCACACAGCCGAATAAACGTCAAGCAGACAACTGATTAAACAGAAGTGTGAGATGGTCGAGAGTTTACTCCAGTGTCCTGTTATATTTTAGATAGCAAGGAGCAGACGGCTGAGTTTATTAAACTCCACCGAGACAATCTCAATTTCATTAAAAGTTTAATAAACTGTGATCTTGTCTTTATTTTTAGTTAGCACATACCTTAAACACTTCAAGCTGTAAGCTGATAGTTATATAAAAGCAGATGCATGCTAGTGGAATAAGCTGTATGTTTTACGTCCAATGGATGCATGATCTGATTAGTCGACTAATCGCAAAAACAATCGGTGACTAGTCGACTATCAAAATAATCGTTTGTGGCAGCGCTAGCTCCATATTTCTGATGTTCTTCCTTTCCTTGCTCCTCATCAAACCCGTGTCTCTGCTGCTCCGACTCCAGACTATGCATTTCCTGAGAAAGTACCTGAGGTAAAAGGTGTTTGTTTAGCTGGAACAGTGAGCTATGGCTTCAACCTCATCTATGCCTGCCTTGAACAGCTGTACTAAAGCTAAAACAGACACAGTGGAACCATACAAACACAATTATGTCTGACAAATCAGAGGGGGGAAAAAAAAAAAAGCTTTGGCTCTTGAAGAACACGTGCTGACTCCCTAGTAAATTTACCATTATGTCATAAACACACACATGCTATGCAGTGATCTAGCAGAAGAAAAATACTTTTTTCTTGTTAGATTTAAAAAGACCACTGAGCCTGAAGACATACTGAGCTGCCACAAAACAGAAAGGCAAATAAACAAAAACTGAAAGCCAACTAAAACACACCAGTTCCTTACCCACCACTGTGGGAATGAACCATATATGGATAATCGAGTCTTCTGGCATATGTTACAGAGAAATCTCTGCCTGGTTTCAGAAAACATTTCAACATCCTTAGTTTTCAATCTTTAAAGAGCTGATAAGACGCTAGTTAAATAATTTCTTATCTTGGCATCTCCACTTTGGTTCATGCTGTCTTTAATGATATTCCAATTCCACAAAAGCTAAGGCATCCAACTACATTAAGGCTGCATGAGCACCATGCAATTCCAGCTATGAAGAGAAGGAGGCTGGGTTTTTGTGCTGAAATGGGCTGATGACCACTTGTGTCATCTTGCGTGGATTTATGTGGTGCTAATTGCACACGAGAGTTTTTTTCTATGTGTGAGAACCATGAGCAGCCACCATTCTTGCAGACACAGTCTCTTGTCTTTGTACATCAGGGGGTTTTTTTTGTTGTTAAATGTACTTAACATTTGGAGGTGTTTTTGTATGCATCCACATTGCACACTGCACATGTGGATGATGCTGTGTGTTAGTCAAATGCATACTGGTTGCAATGTGTACTGGCATCCAGCATGTTTTTAAACACACTGTTGAACTCGTATGCTAGAACTACACTCTTCTCTGTAGCTGGCTGATGGACCAGCAACAACACAGAGTAGCCCACAAACCAGTTGTGCCACTTATTTCTGATATCAACCCCATCTGACAACAGATGCTCTATGCAGCTGCCTACGCGCTACCTTCACTTAACCATAATTTGACCCATTAGACTGCTTCTGTGACCTAGATAAGTGGCAGAAGAGACAAGGTTTCAAACCTTGTCTCTTCTGTATGTGGCACATGAGTATGTGACACTATAAAACTATTTCTATAAAACCTGCCAAATATTTTTTTTTGTTTTAATTACTGGACAGTAATTACTAGATGTTTTAGATTAGATATTTTCCGATTATTTTTATGTATTTTACTTGTTAAAATGCTGAAATAAAAAGGCACCATTATCCAAATGTATAAGAATCAACCACAGAAGATAAAAGATAAAATGTAGAGATTTTTAGGCCCAGGGTGAGGTTAATTTTGGTAACTGGGGGCCGGCTTTACACCTACAGTCTCACACGGCCATTTATTCACACCCTGTCTGGATAACAATACTCAGAAAGTTTGTCTGGAATCCCAAAAATCTCCCCTAGCAACTCCCACAGCCTAACGCCTATTGGCCAGATCCTCCATCAGTTTCTGCACTGATGACTCAGCTGCTGTAGCTTCCGCCTCTGAGCCTCGCACTCAAACACAATGTACACACAGGAATGTGGGCCATAAATGAGAGCTTGGTGTACACTCCATAAGGATGCTAGACAAGTCTGGGCAGCCTGAAACCAAATGCATGGCAACAAACCCACATCCATAGGCGTACACGCACACACACAGACACAAAGTCATCCTGCTGTGTACAAAGAACTGGGTGGGAGGTTAGAGTGTGAAAGGAAAAGAGTTCCGTTTAGAAACTCCAGCAAAATCACCTAAAGATGTCACTGAGTATGAACAACCCTGTACTGTATTTACTCTACATCATGGAATGAAAGGGATATTATTTCATGCTTTGACAAGAGGTCTGAAATATTATAAAACTGACCCTTAGTGGTTTCCGTGCACTCTGCTACATTGTCACTGTCATGCGTCTCTAGAGAAACGAGTGCATCACTATAAAGGGAAGCAGATTCCTTTGCCATGTGGATAAAAGATGATTGGGGGGTCTTCTTCTTCTTCTTCTTCTGTGTGTGTGTGTGTGTGTGTGTGTGTGTGTGTGTGTGTGTGTGTGTGTGTGTGTGTGTGTGTGTGTGTGAAAGAGAGAATTAAGGAATGCAGGAGCGCTAGCCAGAGATAGGACAGGGGGAGGGGCAGATTTCAGGATGTAGGCCAAAGTTACACCAACTGTGATACAGTAACCATAATCGAGTGCACTGCATGATTTTTTTTTTTTTTTGCTTAAACATATGGCGTGACACCTTTCTATGTGTTAAGCCGACTGGTAATTATAATCCAGTACTCACAACCATGGTAGGAAGCAGGTGATCCCTCTGATCTGCCATACTCTTCACTGTAGGAAGTGGAGAGGTTGGGTTGAGATGAGCCTCGGCCAAATCCCATATGACTGCTCCCTGTGGACACCTGGGCCATACGCTCTTTGGTCTTCAAAGCCTGAGACCTAGCAGGACAAAAGGGATAATATATGATTAATATCTGTGATCAATCATCTTGACTTAAGCTAAGAAACTCTAGTTTTAGGTCTAACAGAACGAATAAGAATGAGATACTAGGGTGACACGACGATGGAGCCATGAAACCAAACAAAGCGAGAACATCTAATAGCAGAATTACCCCGAGAATCAGGGTTTCAAGTGGTTTCAATCCTAAAGTGCCAAAATGATTATTTTAGATTAAACATGCTGTCAAACAAATCCCCACAGACCAATTAAGATAATACTGGAAACACTACAGTTGCAACCAAAACATTTTCTCTGTTCTGTGTACAGTTCGAGACTGTGTGTGTGTGTGTGTGTGTGTGTGTGTGTGTGTGTGTGTGTGTGTGTGTGTGTGTTAAAAAGGCAGGTGTCAAAACTGCAAGTCTTGGAGTGATCACATATTTCTAAATACGCCACCGAGTTGAAGTGGAGGAAGGGGGGAAAAATAAATAAAATAAAAATCACTGAAAGAACAAAGTCGTGCCAGACTGTTAAGACAGGAAATGTATTAAATCTGTAGCCAGCAACATTCTTTGCACACATTACAAGTGATAAAGATAAGAAGTGTTACAGAGTTATTTCCAAGGATTAACTGTTTTAGTAAGAAGGCATGGATCTCTTAAACTACACATAAGAATCTCTCGCGTAATACAGATGTTTTGATCTAGTCACGTAGACTAAGACAGCCTTTTGAACTTTGTTGCTTCCTCTGTATTAAAGGTCGTGGTTGGTTTGACCTCTCTAAGATTTGATGCCTGTGCTGCAAGCAGAAGAGCAGAAGTGCAGAAAGGACGGCAATGCACTCTGCTGCAAGAAAATAATAATAATAAAAAAAGAAAAAGGTCTCACCTCTCTCCTTTGAGGCGGTCTTCGTCTTTGAGTAGGACCACTAGCTGCTTGCTCTTCTCCCTGACGTTGATGCCCTGGTCCTTGCCATCTCTGTCGATGTACTGGAAGTCCTTCAGAGTCTGGATGGCGAAGATGTTTTCTTTGCACTGCAGCGCTACTCTCTCTGAGCCCGTCTTGATCAGGTAGTCAAGCAAGGTGAGCGCCTTGTAGACGTGGCGCCAGTTCTTGCCGTGGTCGTTGAGTCGTTTCCAGATCATGTTCATGATCTCGCTGAAGGCCACCACGTTGTAAGTGAGGTCGGCGATGTCCGACATGAGTGAAGACGACGGCCCCCAGGGGTCGTTGGACGTGGCCTCTCTGACTTTCTTCTCCGCTTCGGAGTAGTTGTTAACCATGTTCTTCATCTGCCGGCGGATGGTGCTTGGCATGGTGGCGGTTAAGATGGGACAGACAAGAAATCAAACGTACACTCTCACACAAGGAGAGCAGCTGGGACACCAACAATATTTGGGTTACACACACCCAGAAGTTACAAACGTGCCCTTCAGGTGAAGCTTGTGTTGTTTGCCCGCGTTTCTGTGTCCTTTGTCACGGCGGTGTTTTGTTAATGTTTTCCTGTAACAAAGCGGTTTGTGGATGTACGCGGTTGTTTATGAGGCTCCTCCAGGCCAGTGCAGTGTTCCCGAGTCCTCCAACACAGCGTCTGTTAAAACCATTTCCACACCCACAGTGCCGGCTGAACACATGACCATGCCATCACCTAGACCAAGACGACAAATAACAGGTTAGTTTACAGAACAATATGAAAAACAAATATAGGCAAGGGCCAGAAACCCAAAAAAAACCAAAAAAAAAAAACAAGCACACTCTACAATACTTGCAATCACTCAGAGTATCTTAAACATAACATCAGCTTAATATGCATCTTCTTTAATAAGTTTCACACCCCTAAAGTAATGTCACATGCCAGCAATAACAACTCAAAACCTCAATAGCCCAAGAAAAACCTACGCGTTGCTATATTTCAGATTTCTGAACAGCTGAAGTCACACGCTAATCTGAATGTCTTTCATGAAGTTCCACAGCTAAACAGTAAGCTCACATCGATGTGTAATCACAAGAGCAGCTGTAAGCGCTTTTTGAAACTAGACAAACATGTTTCATACTTTCACACTTAGATAAGCAATTTCCATGCATGCCCCCTCTATATCATACAAAGTCACGGTGCTGTGAACAAGAATTGTTTCCACTTTTATAATTTCACTTAAGTTTACAGTAACTTTGACACGATGGCAAATTACTAGGACGGATGGTGAAGATTTTTGTTAAACTAAACAAATCTGTGTGGTCACACCATTCCCCAGCACTTCCAAGACTGCTTCAGGTGCATATTCTTTGTGTGAACTTGGAGGACAATGTGAAGACAATTACAATGAAACAACATGCCATATAAAGAGGTCTGCAATAATCTAACATTTTAATCTTGAGCACCAGGTTATGGAGTACAAATAAGTCCTTAAAATATTGTTCAGGGATTTTTAAAAAAAACCTGATATGGTGTAAATATAACACAGAGAGCAACGTGTATGTATAATATTGCTCTAAGATCATAGAAGTTATCAATGTAATTCACCAGCAGTAACTTGACCACAATCTTTGCAAAGATTTAAATTAACAGTATTGGCAATCACTGAAATGGTTAATCCATCAGTGTGCACAAGCTCTTTAATAAAATTTTTATTTTTAATGCTAAAATATAAAATTATTGTTTTTGATTTTACTGTTTTTCAAAAGCAGAAAAAAATATTGAAGCATATTATTATTTTTTGATTAGGATGCCAAATTACAGCTGAGCAGAAAAAGCAGTAATTTCTGAGTTCTCAGAAAAGTCCAGGGTGTCGGCTTAAATTCTGGGTATAAAAACTTAATTTCAGTAACATTTCGTTTGTGACATTTTTTAAAACATTTTTTTAAACAACAGGTGGTCTAATAAGCACTGTATATATAAAATAAGAGCTTTGCTTTTTTAATTCCCCAATATATTCAACCACAATTCTCTAACAAGTCTGAGAATGAGACGCCTTTATCTTCACAGCATTAACAGTAAGAATGAGTTTCCACCCTCTGGTGGGTGGCAGGGGAGATAATCCATTTCCAGTCAGATGAATACCACAGAAGTGACTGATGACGCCTCAGTACTTGTTTCTAAAAGATCAGCAAAGCAGCCACTAATCACTTCCTGCCAGACACAGAGACAAGTATGGATAGTGGGCGGAGACTCACAGCGGCGTAACGTACACACCCAAGTGCCATGTGAAAAACTCTTGACCGTGAAAACTCGCTTAAGTATGCAACACCTAAGGCTTACATAACACGTTTAAATCTGCTGCTGGTGCTGGAAAAGAACAGCAAGCCCCCATTAACAGAGTTGTGCTTGGACTGCAAATGCAGTTATTACTGTTATCAGTAATAAACTGCAGTTTGGGATGTCGGTGCCCATTGTTTTGCCTGCCTCGATGCCTTCCAGGCAAACCTATGATGACTTATCCTTTTCATTGATCAGAGCTCAATGCCAGGCGTGCACAGACAAGCCCAACAAAGTTCTTTCATACACATAAGTACAAGTCTGTGTGGACTTTATTAAGCACAAGAACGCGTTTTTTTTCAATGTATGTAGAAGTTAAATACAGACAACTTGTGCATGCATTTGTTTCAGGGAGCTTCCTGTCTAGCAATGTCATGGAAAGACAGCTGGAGGGGACGGGGGTGAAGAAACAAGGATAAGAAAACAACTTGGCACATCCCATAAATTCACTTAACGCCAATGAAACGTGATTCCTGTAGAGCATCACACACACACACACACACACACACACACACACACACACACACACACACACACACACACACACACACACACACTCTCTCTCTGAACGTTCCCTCGTCACCCTCCTCCTCACCCTGCATCCGCATGAATACTGCTCAGACCTAATGACACATCTGCTGCTATAATCACCTATTCACCCGTAGCAGACAGGAGGAAGAGAGGAGAGTCTGTCTTGTCCATCCCACCCTCCTGCAACCCCCATTCACATCCCGGAACAAACCCCCCACCCCACCCCTGACACACAAGAGCCAGTAGATATCCCCAGCCTGCCTTCACTCAGTCCTTCTGTGCTTAGTTCACGCCAATCCCAAAAGAAGACTGCACACAAGACTTGTGTTTGTGTGCGTGTCTAAAGAAATATGTGTTCATGCTGACAGTGCAGGTTATAAGTATGTCAAAAATCAGTAAGCATGTCATCATCCCGTCAAACCGCCAGCACACAATGCGGGGTAGCAGTTTAAGCGTGAAATAATTGAGTCCAGGGTGTGCTTTTTAACGGCACCAGATGAACTCGAACACATCTGTCGCCACCCATTCAGTCTCTTCCTTCTTTTCTTTCTGGCCTGTCTGTATCTGACTCACACACATTAAAGATGAGCTGTTAGTCCACCCTGTTCTCTATTTCAACACAAAGCCATTTATAATATATTTAAATATGTGGTGTTTTAATATCGCCTGGTTTTTCATGCAACAATTGTCTAATCCTTGGCGATTTTCGCTTTTGGAAGACAAAGTAATAAATGAAGTAAATAAGTAAAAAATACCCAGCGATCATTCCTTAGAATGCGACAGAAGGCAAAGGCGAAAGAGTGCTTGTGCCCTGCAGCCAAACAACAGACCAAATATGCATTTATTATGGCCATAGAGTTGGACTAATTTTGAAGGAGGAAGAGGAACAGAAATAACCCATTAAATACAGGCTGAGAAAAACACTAACCGCACTACCATCATAGTCAAATGGGACAAAGTGCCATTTACTGTTACATGCAAAGGTCAAAAGCAGAAAAAACAAAAAACAAATGAGGCCTTACTGTGGAAAACACTTTTTTACAAATCCAAATAAGATACCAGTGAACTGATGGACTAATATACACAGAACAGTTGTGATAAATTTCCCCCAAAAAATAAATAAATAAATATGTGTATCGCCTGACAGGAATAACGATTGGTCTCAACAGCATGAACTAGCAGCAGTGATGTAGTAGCGCATTATGAGATATTCCCTTTTTGAATTGCAAATCATGTCACAGATACCTACAACTTTCTATGAATTCCATCAACAGTATTTAATAATAATACTGTAATGCCGCTTACTTATAAAACCTTCCGGCTTTGACCAACTGTAAACAAATCACCTGCACGCAATGAGTGTTCATCTTAAATAAAATGAAATTATTTGTCATGTATTTAACAATCTGTATCGCCAAACTACGAATATCTAAAGATACAGACGGGGAAAGAAACGTGTGACTGAGACATTAATGTCTGTGCACCAGAGGTCCATCATTACAAAAGCTTTAATCTTGGCTTGGCAGGAAGTGCTCAGAAGTTGTTGCTGTGCCGGCAGTGCAGGAATGTGCAATATGTCGTTTCAGTATCAACACCATCAGCATGAAGTAAGACACATTAGGCTGAACAGAACTACAACTTTCTTTCTCTTTGAGACCAAAGAAGAAGAAAAAAAAAAGACCACACCTTTCTGACTTTTCTGTGAATAAACTGAAAGTTTGAGATTTACCCACAACTAACGAGTCCTGTATATATTAGTTTGTCACTTGTTAGTGCACACAGCACACGCAAAGGACCAAAGAGTTACATCAATTCATTCATTTAGAACAGGCAGTCAGGGAAACTCCATAAGACAGGAGTTCTTTTACACTCCAGTTTGTGGTGCAGGTCTCCCAAAACCAGGTGACACTAGTAGCAGAAACATCCTAGCATGCCTTGCTTTATGAATGGGTCCATCTTCTCCCCGGTGCACCAGTGTGCCCGCTCTCAACGGAAAGATTGCAACCCAGAGTGGGTGCGTCTCTTAAGCTCCTTCCTCCCCCATTTAGGCAGACGATGAGTAATGGCCAAACACTACCCTTCAATTCCCACTGGGGTACCCATATCACAGCCACTCATGCCACATGTCACAGCAACTTAAGGCAATTCCACTAGATGCACCACAGCACATTTCAGGAGCAGTTCTTTGGTCCACTAATGTAGCGAGACGATGGAAGTTAAACAATGGGTGGTGGACGAGGCAGGCAGGAAGTCAGTCATGGGTACGGCAAAGAGAGCAATTGGGCAATTTTTAAAATCATCCTACACTGTGTGCACACAAATTACTCCCGGTGCAGGATGAAGCAGAGGAGAACAGAACAAAATCATGGAGGAGATACAACATTATAGACCCAAGCCCAATCTGTTCCTGAGGTTAGAGTTCAGCTATAGCTTTCAACAAGCTTCTGTGCACTGCTATTATCGCTAGAGAGAAATCTACCCCGGACAAGGAAATAACCAAATAAGGGAACAATAATGATGTCCCCTTCATTACGGTTAGTTCACATCAAACGCAATGAGAAGTTCTGCCTCATGTTGCTTGCATGAGGAAACCCATAAATGTTAACTCCTGACCGGCAATAGGATATAGATGTGTATAGCTGACAGTTGGAATCAAGTTACAGAAATATAATTTCCTAACTTACCATTAAGTCCTACATTTTCACTCACTTTTCTCCACGCGTTCTACCCCCCATTTCTCTACATAAAGGTGACATAGAAGCAAAGAGGCCCTGTAGCCCTCAAACAGCATCAATACACCCGTCCTTCATTTCTGATTCTCACTTTCACCTGAAGAAGAATCCACAACCTACAGGGCAATCCCGCTTGATGCAAACTTAACTTTTCAGCTTCATTCACATCACCCAGGGGCTTCACATCACCAGATTTCACAGAATCTGAATGTCATTGTGCATCAAGAGAGAACCCACTAAGGCATCTTCTCAAACCACATGTATAGGATTTAACTGTAAGAGGGTAAAAAATTAACCCTTGTTTTACAAAATCACCCCAATCATTAGATCAAAGAATGATTCATGTTTTTCAGCCAAACATGTTCATATTGCCTGCCGAAGATGAATGGGTTTTTCATGTCCTAGAAAATATCTGAATGAATATATCCCAAAGAAACACGTAGAACACTTGACTTAAGTGAGTCACCTTAGATCATAACAAGTCCAACTTATCTTGTGTGTGTTTTGGCAAAAGCTAGGTAAACTGTGATTAGCATTAAGGGCTCAGAATCAGCGCATTGAGAACAGGTCCACCTTGTCACACAGAATGAGTAAAGCTGATCTCGAGATAGTAGGCTTGCACAACCGGGCGCCTGTGTGTGAATGTGACAAGACTATGTTTGTCTGTTCAGAATGACATTGTGTATAATAGGCTGTGTAATGGCATCCAGCCAGTTCCTTAACCATCCCTTTACATATGGTACAACCAAGAGCAACATTCATAAGTAATTAATCTTCATCTTCTCCTAGACACAAGGATTAAGCTCCCAAAAGCCAAACTCGCGTCAAATAAGCACTAACACTTGTTCAAACAGTACTAAAGTGGGTTTAAGTGAGCTATTACAACCGTGCACTCTGAGACAGTGAGACAGGAGGAGAGGCCACCATCTGATCGACGCATCACCCCACCTTTTGTCCTATGTTGCTAGCCGAGAGAAACAAAGCCAGCCAAGACAGGGACGGGAGGAGGACCGTGATGATGCATCTGTCACCCCCGTAACTGACTGACCACCCTGACAATAAAGGAAGCGCTGCCCCTCTTCTCAGGCCACATCAATACGGGTTCAGTGCGACTATGAAAAGAGAGGTTTTACTCAAACATCTTTGACTATGTTGAAAATAGAAAAGAAAACCTTGCCAGTATTAATGATCTAAAAACCAAACACTTTAGTCGCTGCTTGTCGGAAACCAGGCGAGTAAACGGACAGCGCCCACGTCGTAACGAGTCTCCCTAAAAATATCAATAAGTACGTTAAGTTTTGGACTGCTGAGTCACTGTAGTATGCTCTCGTCTAGCCCTCGTCTCTATAACAGCATGTGTGTTTCGGTAGAGAAAATAAAAATAATTTAAGTGGCTCTTTTTTTCTTTTTTTAAAATCACGGCGCCTCCTTGAACTGACGTGATTGATAGTTAGCACATAAGCTAAAGTAGCTTTAGCTAACATTCGTTTGGTGCTAGTAAACTACCTTAATGTTATTTATAATCCGTTCAGTCAAAAAATCCAGGTGATAGAGGTGAAATAAGTATGTGTATAAAATAGTGCGAGCTTACTCTAACATAGAATAGCAACCACACTTGCTACTAAGGGGTTTGCCGCTAACTACAGCTAGTTGAGTGCAAACTTGCGGCAAGTTCTAGTGCTTAGCATTGATTGAGTTAGCGGTGACTACACATTTCAGCTCACTGGAAAAGTACATAACCCGGAAAAGTTTGCTGTAGCTTAAAAATACACTGCAGCAATCACTTTTTCCACTTACAGATATTTGCACCCGAGATACCAACCACCGCCTAGCGTCAATTTACAAGACGATTTCAAATCCTGGCTTTCAGAAAAGTTGAATCAAAGCTAGCAGAGCTTGTGTTAGAACAGCCAGTTCACACACCATCCCCTCCAGCACCCTACTAACAACACAACTGTTGATCACTCACCATCTAGATGTAACACAATTTACTATTTACCGGTTTTATGACCACTTCTATACTGTAACGCACAATCGTTCGCGTTAGCTTCATAAAGTACTTTCTATGTTAGGACAATCAACTAGCATGTAAAGCTAGTTAGCGATCCTTCAAGCTAGCATCCAAGACGGGAGCTCAGTGGAGACATCACCATAGCAAACTGGATTACAGGACACCCCAGAAAAACAAAACAACGCGACTGTGTTGAAAACCGAAGGTAACTTACCAGAATTTTTGAGAGGGATACTTTAGGTACTCGTGTCACTCCAAGTGGAAGTCAAACCAATAAAAAACGTAGCTAATTCCAAAAAGAGAAGGGGGAAACCGAGACAGGAGTACTTATTTGGGCGTTCAAGGAGCTTGTTGCGCCTCCGCCTAGCTATATGCTGCTAGTGCTAAGCCAGCTAAAGCCAGGACTACACGTATCTCCTCCTCCTACAGAACATGGCGGGCAGAGCAGGAGGTGGGGTGTAGGGGTTGGGGGTTGGCCGGGAAGGGTGTGACCAAGTGGGCTTGACTTGGCAGGGATAGAGACAGACCCTTCATCCCTCGTGAAAACCCTCGAGGGGGAAAAGGCGCGCCCCTGAGCAAGTGACTGTAAAGTGATAATTAGAATTTCCAAGTTTTCACATGAACGATTTACAACATCGTGGACATGCGTGACTATAAGAATGGTTATATTAAAGTGCTGGACTACTTTTTTTTCTTCTTCTTTTTGTGGAATAGCTTTTTTGTTTTAGTAACCGAACAGTCCTCTCTGGTAAATCTAGTTTTGAGGAGCCATTTTCCAATTTCGTCAAAGAAAGTTAGCAGCCAAAAGGAAATAAACGGAGTATGCACAAGTACGTGCATGTCATGATTTGTCACTGCCAGGGATTGTCCGCTGCAGGTGTGTCATTACAAAGCGCAAACTTTGTAGGACCGCATTCCATCGCTCTAATTTTTTCCACCCCACAGTCTCTGCGCAACCGCTTTTTCTTTCACAGGTATTTAAATAGAGGGAGGGGGACAACACGTCACACGTCCCAGACACGTGGCACAACACGCTTTATCTTTTTTTCAAACCGAGATCTATGAATAGACGCAGATGCCTTAGTAAAAAAGTGCGCAGTGAGCTATTAATAGAAATGTAGGTTGTAGACGCAAAGTGTGTAAGTTAAAAATAGAAAGGGATCAAAATGTCACGAATCTGCAACGCTGACAACAGCCAAACGTCAGTATGACCGATGTGATGTCCTTTGGCTGTTTTTACTGCTGTGCCATACTGCAAATTTTGTTATGATCGATACCAAATAAATACAGGGCCAGCATTCCCGATACCAATATCGGTATTTTTAACTTATAAGGACAGCTTATGTAGGGGAGAGCGGTGTGTCATGACATTTAAAATTATCATCAATTTGCAAATTCTGAATACATTTTAATGACCACCAAATTACTGTGATGTTTTTCTTTTACTTTCTCAAAAAAAGCACATCTTTTAGCTTTTTGTAACTGGGTTTTTTGGGGACCTAGAATGTAAATGCACCTGTCTTTAAAGCAGTTTGTGTGAACTTCGGTTATTAAATGTGCTTTAGGCAATAAATAAAATAGATGTGACAGTCAACACAAAAAGTTTAAGACATTTTTTCATAGTACGTCTGAGATTATTTTTCAGTTCTTAAATATAAGAACTGATATAAGAATATATAAATATATATATATAAATATAAGAACCGTCTGCAGTACGGGGGCCCCACAGGGAACGGTTCTGGCTCCGTTCCTCTTCACCATCTACACTGCAGACTTCTCCCACAATTCCACCCAGTGCTTCTGCAGGAAGCACTGGGTGGTGCCGGGTGGTGCCGGCCTCATCACTGATGGGGACGACAAGGAGTACAGAGGTCTGACCCAAGACTTTGTGGACTGGTGCCAGCTGAACTACCTCCAGATCAACGCCAGTAAAACCAAGGAACTGGTGGTAGACTTCCGCAGGCACAAGCATTCTCCACTGCAACCACTGAACATCCAAGGTATGGACATTGAGGCTGTGGACAGCTACAGGTACCTTGGTGTTCATCTGAACAATAGACTGGACTGGACTCATAACTCAGACGCCCTCTACAGGAAAGGGCAGAGCAGGATGTACCTGCTGCGGAGACTCAGGTCGTTTGGAGTGGAGGGCCCACTCCTGAAGAAATTCTATGACTCTGTTGTGGCTTCTGCTATCTTTTATGGCGTGGTCTGCTGGGGCGGCAGCATCTCTGCTGGGGACAGGAAGAGACTGAACAGGGTGATCCGAAGGGCCAGCTCTGTTCTAGGATGCCCTCTGGACCCAGTGGAGGTGGTGAGTGACAGGAGAACGGCGGCTAAGCTGTCATCCCTGATGGACAACATCTCCCACCCCATGCAGCAGACTGTGACAGCACTGAGCAGCTCCTTCAGTGGGAGACTGCGGCACCCACGGTGTGGGACGGAGAGATTTCGCAGGTCTTTCCTCCCCACTGCTGTCAGACTCCATAATAAAGACTTTAACTGATCAAGCACACACATCCATACATATGCAATAATACTAAGTGCAATAATCCTTTCTGTCATCGTTGTATTTTTACTCAGTTGTATATAGTATTTGTATTTGTATTCTATTTTTATCTTATTGTATATTTATTTTATTTTATTCTACTGTATATAGTATTTTATTTTATTTTATTCTATTCTGTACAGTTGTGTACTGTATTTATTCTTATTGTATTCTAATTTTTGCCTCATAACTTTTGCACTGTCCACTTTCTGCTGTGACAAAACAAATTTCCCACGTGTGGGACTAATAAAGGTTATCTTATCGTATCTTATCTTATAAGACACAATTCAGTCAGATAGATAGTGAACTTTGGGGACAGAAATAAAGTATTGATCCTATCACGCTAGTATCGATCCAATACAGATGCCAGCATTGGTATCGATACTGTCGACCCAGCTCTGCTTTCTAGTAAAGTGCTAAATCTGGCTGGGAGTGCCACCTTTAAAGTTCACTGATGCTTTTGTGTCCTCCTGCTGCATATTCGGTGGAAAGGATAAGCCAATTAAATGAAGCCCAAGCCAAGCTGATTGAGATGTTTTTGGCACTCGCTGGTCTCTGCTTGAGAGAGTGATAAAAAAAAACAAAACCAAATAGACTCTTTGTGCAAACAGGTTTTTGAAATTGTGTAATTGGCCTGCTCTAAAGCTATTGCCTGAACAGAACAGACCAAATCAGAGTGCGAGAAAAAAAATTGTACTGCACACTACTTATTAACTCAAGACCTTTAACACGAAGACCTATGTTGGTGTTTTTAGAGGAGTATTTCAAGTTGATGATTCATCTTACTAGACTGCCAACATCCACTATATAAAGCAAAGCCCCTCCTGATGGGAGCCTGTTAACAAGAGGATTGTGTACCAAAGAAGGTTTGGTACATGGCAAGAGGATATCTTGTCAAAGATATATATTTGTGTTACTCAAATATACATGATTTAATCCTCACCAGGTCTTAAAATTCATAAAGTACAACCTCATGACATATTATACCGTGTCATAAACTAAACTAAGCCAAAATGCAGAAGCTACCATGATTCAGTAGCTTGTAGAACCACCTTTAGCAGCAATAACATGAAGAAATGGTTTCTCTTGTGACTTTATCAGTCATCCACATTGTTGTGGAGGACTTTTGGTCCACTCTTCTTTACAGTGTTCCTACAGTTCATTGAAGATTCTTGGTTTTTGTGTATACACAGCTCTCTTAATGTCCCACTGTAACATTTTGATCAGTTTTAGGCTTTCGGTTTACTGCTGTCCTTGGGTATACTTTGGTATACCAAGGAGTTCATGGTCAAGTTAATGACTGCAAGGTCCTGCAACTGCAAAATGAGCCCAAACCATGACCACTGACAGATGATACGAGGCATTTGTGTTGTTGTGCTGTCTTTGAGGGGAGCTTGGAGGCGTGGTGGTTAGCACTGTCGCCTCACTAGGAGGTCCTGGCTTCAATTCTAGTCTGAAACCTTCTTATGCCAACTTTAATGTTCTCTCCAAATAGTTCATCTTCACACAGGGAGTAAGGTTAATTGCTGATTCTAAACAAACCATAGATCAGAAAGTGATTGTGAAAGATTGTCTGTCTCGATTTGTTAGCCCTGCCACAGACTGGCGACCTCAGCCACTGTAGAATGGACTTTTAAATTATTTGGAAATGGCCTTAACTCTTCTCAGATTGGTGGGCAGTAACAAGCTCATAGCTGATGCCTTTTCTTCTCAGGACTGATGGCCACACACAGACCTGAGCACACCAGACCAGCAAACTGCCAAAACCTCTGCTTGTTATAGGCGTGCTCACACTTGGTGAGGATCAGTTAATGGAGTGCATTTGATTAGCAGCATCTGGCTGCTACTCTCTGAATTCCTATGGAAGTAATAAGGGTTCACTTTTTTGCACACTGCTTCTGCATTTTGGCTCAGTTTTGGTTAAATAAATAATGACACAGTGTAATATGTCATCTGTTGTTGTTTATCCTGAGGTTGTTTTTACTGAAGTTTAAGACCATATTATTTTAAAACCTCATAATTGAAAGAGGATGTACTTTCTTTTATTTTAACCATGGCTGTATTTCTCCATCCAACACAAAAATGCAAAACCTTTGTGCAAAATAGATGTAATTGTGGCAACTGTGGCAAATCCTTTGTTCTTCTGCAACAGGTATCAATGAGAAGCTTGAAGGTGACATTCATGGTTGGGTGAGAAAGCTACCTCAAGCAGTTATTTTGCAAACAAACAACAAGAAAATGTCACCTTGGCATTTACTATCTCCTCTTATCAGACAAACTTTGAAAGTTAAACTAAATTCTGATTGGTCAGTCTGTGCAAACAAAAAAGTGAAGTGTGCTATGTGTTGAGTATGTGCCCTTTTAAAGTACATGCAGGTCCAGTGTCAGCCAGTAGAGGTCAGGAGCGTCCCACTTTTAAAACAGTCAGAGAGTGTGTCTGTAATGTGAGCACAAACTAAACTTAGGAGGGCTGTCTAGAACCCCCTGCAGACATGTGTGACCTTTAATATGTAATCACCATATGTGACCCCCTACAAAATCACCCTCCACAAAATAATCACCCTCATTCTCAACACTCATGCCCTATTAGAGACTCACTGGGCCATTAGCTTGTCTTGCACCATCCATGGTCAGATGCACCGACCCAGCATAGTTTTACTCATGCAGAATGAGTATTGCAGTCACTAACACATGATTCGTTGAGTCTAGATGTCACCATGCGTGACACATGAACAACAGTCAGGGGAAGCTCACGATGATCATTAGTTGTTAGCAGCTTACCATATCTTACACTATTATTATATAACCGAGTGGCGTTTATCACACACCAGAAATTCAGCCACCAAATGCGGTAAATCTCAGTTACAAAGGCAAGCGGTGCAT